TGAGAAGAGGGGACAGGGTCAGGGGTCTGATGGGAACAAAGCACCTGGAGTCCACAGGCAGAGCATGGAGCAGAGAAGGATAAACAGTGAGAACACTGGTGATCAGCATTCAGCAAAGAACTGATCAGTGCATGCGAGTGATGAAGCTCATCAAGACCAGGAAATGAACCATCTAAAAGCATGAATGGGAAAGAGTGCTGGCATGAACACAGCATTGGGAGCAGTACCCACTGTATCATCCAGTCTGGAAACCTCACCAGTCTTTGCCATTGGGTGGAGGGTCTTACCTCAGTGGTGAGAATAATTACCCTAGACCAAACACTGCTCTGGTTTGCGCTAACAAATTTTAAAAGTAAAACCTAAAAGGATCAAATCCTTTCAATTCAGGGTATCCTCGAAGAAAGCTCAAGCTATAAGAAAACAAAAATATCCAGCATCAACAAGGTAAAAATCAAAATGTCTGGCATCCACTCAAAAATTTCCAGGCATACAAGGAAGCTGGAAGGTATGACCCACAATGAGGAAAAAAAAAATCAATCAAAACAGAACTGACACTGATATTATAATTAGCAAAGAAAGACATTAAGGTAGTTGTTATAACTGTCATCCATATGTTCAAAAAGTCAAGAAGATACACAAAAGATACTTTATTTTTTTTAAAAGATTTTATTTATTTATTCATGAGAGACCGAGAGAGGGGAGCAGAGGGAGAAGCAGGCTCCCCGCAGTGCAGGGAGCCTGATGCAGGACTTGATCCCAGGACCCTGAGATCATGACCTGAGTCAAAGGCAGATGGTTAACCAACTGAGCCACCCAGGCGCCCCACAAAAGATACTTTAAAAAAAAGTGAAAATTACAATGTCTGAGTTGAAAAATACACTGAATGGGATTACTGGCAGATTAAACATTGCAGAAAAATAGACCAGTGAACTTGAAGACACATCAATAGCAATATTTTCAAGTGAAACAAAGAGGAAAAAAATAATAATTAAAAAAAAAAACCAGGACATCAGTGAAGTCACGTAAGAAAACAAAGTCAAACAGCCTAATACATGTTTTATTTGATGATAACTGGGTCTTTTAAGGAAAAGAGTGAAGAGAAAATTTAGAAAAAAATATTTGAAGAAACAATGGCTGAAACTTTCCAAAGCTGATGAAAACTATAAACCCACAATTCCAAATAACCCAATGAGCTCCAAACACAAGAAACAGAATAAAACAAAACAGAATCAGACCAGAAACAAATTGCTCAAAATCTTAAAAGCAGCTAGAGAAAAAAGGGAATGTCACATCCGGAGAAACATAATTACAGATGGTGGCGGATTTCTCAGTGGAGAGGATACAAGTGTGGAAACAGAAGAGCGCCATCTTAAACCTGATGAACAAAAAAATGTTACCCTAGAAGTCTATACTGAGTTAAAGTAACATTCAAAAATGAAGGCGAAATACCAACTTTCTTCAGACATACAAAAAGTGAAAGATGCCTCACCAGCAGATCTATGCTGCAAGAAAACATTAAATGACATCTTTGAGGGGGAAGGAAAATTATATGTGGAAATATGGATCAATACAAAGGAAGAGAGAACATCAGAATTTACATGGGTCAATGAATGTGTTTATCTCATTGTATATGAAACACAAACTCTTATATTGCATATAAAATAGAATGTTAACATCAGGCTTATAAATATTGACACTTGCTGAGGTTGCTAAATAAAACCTATAAATTTTTGCTGCAACAGTCAATACATTTTTTAAATAAACATAATATTTTAATTTTTTTTTAAGTAGGCTCCATGCCCAGCATGGAGCCCAACGTGGGACTTGAACTCACGACCCTGAGATAGAGACCTGAGCTGAGATCAAGAGTTGGACGCTTAACTGACTGAGCCACCCAGGTGCCCCAAATAAACACAATATTTTAAAATGGCCAATTACATGTTTTATTCCCTCATTCTCTTCCCTGCGTACCCATTTTATTTTTAATGCCTGATTTGACACAGGACTAGAGTGTTACGTGGATGACTGGTAGATCCCCATGGTGTTGGCCATTCTGTACCTACATATTCCATATTCCTAAGGATTCATGCACTCCTTTCCTTCCTCTTTTCTCTCCTTCTGTCCTCCCCTCCTTCTTTCTCCCTTCCCTTATTCAAACAATCAACACACAAATAAACGTAAGATTACGTTACGAGAGCACACCACATCATGGGAATGATACAAGCTCAAGGGAATGCTTGAGAAGACACCGACCATGAACATGGGTAGTCGAAGTAGAAAAAAAGGAAGAGAAGACCTCCCAAAGAAGAAAAACAATCGAGAAAGAAATGAAGGTGGACCTGGGGCCAGTGTCGGTGTCTGTGGCTTCAGAGACCTGCGTTGAGGATGTCAATGTGGAATTGATCAGAGTGTGTAACTGTTACTGAAAATTTAAGAAAGCGGAGGACACCCAAATGGAGTTCTTTTTAGAGTGGGATACAAAGCCTAGAACAAGTCTGTGGGGAATATGGCACTGGACACACGGGGCTGCTGGAGGGAACGAGGGACTCTAAGAAGACCCCATATACTCCACGTCCACTCTCGGAGTCGGGGGAAGGGAGGGATTTTCAGGTAGAGAACACGTGTGTGCCAAGCCAGGAAGCAATGAAAAATGCCTGGTGTTTATAGGAATAGCGAATATAACTGTAATTGGAGTTTAAAGAAATGAAACCAAAAAGAGAAGTTGCATCTAAGAGACATTATATGCCAAGATAAGCAATCGGACATTTTCTCAATATCAACAGAGCAGTGAAAATAGAAATGGGAGGAAAAAAGACAATAATTAGCTCTTTGGGCTATAAACCATATCATATTCAATTACTGTCAAAAATAAAAGTACAAAGCTTTATGCTTGAACAATTATTAATAATAAAAATGAAGACCATACAGAGACCCCACTATTAAGCAATGTACTCTGTCTAGTTTTACAAGTCGTGATGATTATTATCAGTCTACAGTTTTATGCTAGGAGCCCCCTGTGCCCGACAGCTCGTGTTTGCTGAATTTAGGATGCACGCAAGTCCTTCTGGGGACCAGGCCGGCAGCTTTGATCTCCCTGGTACTGACCTCTAACCCAAGGAACTGGAGTAGTATCTCCTCACGAAGAACATCAAGCTAATGGCAAATTGCCATCAAAGAGCATGTTCTGCTTTGAAGTCAGTAAACCTGAAGTTGTTTCCAAAGTAATGGGAGAAAGGAGAAGCTAATTTTATGGGATCAAAGAGAAAACAGAATATCGGGTGTCCCAGCCGCTTGCAGCAGTGAGCACGTTCATGGATTTCAGAAACAAAAGGAGGGAAGGAGATGGCCAATGGAAAGAGGGAAAAAAGGCTGAGAGCATTGCAACACCATCTCCGCTGAATGTTGCACGGAAATGCCAACCAGAGACAGGGTTTGGAAATGGAGTGAAAGCGGAGCCTGTCCTCGGGAAGACAGATGGAGCTGAGGCCAAAGGGGATCCTTGAATCTAGGATGGGGTTGCTTCTGGGATGGTGAGCCTCACCTCCAAAGGCCTCATTGTCTGTGGGGTTAACAAAGGGGTTGATGGTATCGTTGCTATGCAGCCCCTCCCTGCTCCTTAGTGCCCACACCGTCCCGGATCCCTGAGCCACCAGAAGCCGAGATTCCTGCAGCCACTGTGCGCATGATCCTTCCTTCCTCCTTCCTGGAAGCCCCTCCCACCCCCAGCTCACCTCCCAAGCCCTTCACTTTGAAAACTGACTGACCGCTCTACTCCCTAGGCCCCAGGTTCGTGTTCCAATATTTTACATTTGTTTTGTGCAATTTTATGACTTCTCATAAAGTCTTGACAAAGAAAAGCAATCATTTTAGAAGGGCCCCCACATCCATTCCCTAACACAGTTCTCTGCAAATAGCAAGTGTCCGATAAATTCTTATATGGCACGGGAGGGAATAAAGAAATGAAAGCCTAAATAACATAGTAGTTATGAGAACCAAATTTGGGGAAAAAGACATAGTTTTTAAATCCTAGATCCAGTATATAATAGTTCTGGCAAACATCTCCATTTCTCCAAGGTGAAGATTCTTCCTCCTCTGACGCAGAAAGCTTATTACTATACCAGATCCATTTGGCTGTTGTGGGAGTTGAATGAGAAAATGTCTGTAAGGTAGGATCTGACACATTACATATTTTGCATATGATAGATCTTACTGACACTTTTCTGCAAAGCTAATGCTCTGATCAGGTATGAAATGAAGTGTGACCAAAAACCCAACCTCCCAAGATGTTCCCATCCAACATACTCTTTGGGTTATTCTCCAGTTTTCTAGATTTTTTGGAATACTTTTTTTCTTTTGGACTCATTTAAGAAATTCCAGTATATTCCAGATCATCAAAATGGCAACTGTAGAGTCGATTCCCCCACAGATGTCACTGAATGCGTTTCTGCTTGTGTTCATGCTCACGTTGGCTGCAACTTTTGTCACTCTTCTCATTAGTGGGGAAAAGAGGGAAGACACAACTCATAAATGATGTTCAAATGAAGGTTCACATCAAGGAAAGTGGGGATTCAAGCGGTGAATATGGGAGAAGCACGGAGTCATTGCAGATTACGGGGAAAACAAGATCACCTGCTGTCACCTGCGTCCCCACACCAGAGTCACCTCAGTGTCCGAGAACAGCACCATCCGTCACAGTGAATTACTGTTGTTGACTTGAACCTCGTTATTTTTATGATGCACCCACTCTAAAATAGGGACCCTGCTCTCCTCTGGGAATCTAGGATTCTGAGGCTCAACTGGGGCGCACCTCTACATTCAACTAGAAAATAACCAAAGACAGCAATATCCAGGCTTTCCATAAAAAACAGTTTTACATACAGGGATATTTAAAAGGCTGAAAAAAGTCAAGCTCGGTTTTCAGCCTGGCCTTTGGAGCATGTCCCTCTGTCACTGATCTTGGCAGGGGTGGGGGGCTGCTGGGAGGATTAAACACCACTTACGGTATGTGCATCCATACACTTCTATCCGCATCCCAATCCTGCCCTTAGGGTTCCAGGCTAAGGGGAGGAAGCGCAGGAACCTGGCTTCGAAAGGAGGCTGGAGTCGGTAATGCACCACACTGTCCGCGTTTGTGTTTCCTGGAAAACCCTGGTTGAGAAGGGAGAAAGGGATCAATGTGTCTGCAGAACACGGAGTTCACGTCACTTCTCTTGCCCAAGAGCGATGGAGGCTTCACTCTGTTAATATGCAAAAGGTTGCCTGCTTTATGGAAATGCTGCTAATGTTTTTTGGTTTTTTAAATTTTTCTTATTGTTATGTTAATCACCATACATTACATCATTAGTTTTTGATGTAGTGTTCCATGATTCATTGTTTGTGCATAACACCCAGTGCTCC